CGGTATTAGAGTGGCTTCCATATCATAAAAATACACATGGTTGATAATGTTGTCATCTCAAAATAGTTAGTATGATAAGGTACAACAAGATGTGATTGGTAAAATACTTAGAAACCTTTAAGGAGACATTATCTCTTAAAAGAAGTGTTAATAACAAAATATTTTTACACTTAAAGTTTTTGTAACTAATTAAAATTTATAAAATCACGTTAAAATCTCACAAAATTGTGTAATTTCTAATTTTAACGTGGGACTCTTTGGGGGAACCGAGGTCCGGTTGAGGATATCGACCTCAGTCTAAGATATATAGGCATGCTAGGTCTTAATGACTTTAGTGGCACGAAGGTTCTCTGACGAGATTAAATGGGATTAGAGCATGTCGGACCAATAACCTATTAACCTATCATTTGTACTAAGGGGATTGAGTCAGTACAAGGTCCAATCTGGAATAATGCACAAACAAGTTCATAATTACATTGAATTGTTGAACCAAATTCATAGCTTGCATTTGCATGTCTAAGGATAACTTTGAATAAGGAAAATAAATGTGTGGAAGAATAACTTGGAATAACACGCACGTCAAGAAAATAAGTTCAACTTCCATTCACAATCTCGGGTTTAATTGGATCATTCATTTGAAAATGCACAAACTTGATGCGATTAAAAACTTTATATATAATTTGACTATATATCTCGGCTTTTCGTTACATCATCTTATGCATTCAACGTTCCGATTGAAGAAGTAATATACAATCTACTCCTGTCTCATATCCTGCCACCAGATTGATGCTGCTGCTTGTCACAACTTTATACAGCATCAGCATCACATTATATCACAGGACTACTGAAATATTTTGGGTACACAAGCAAGAGATTTAGTCGGATTCATATATGTAGCTAGCCCCTAATCCCATAGACATATATATAGCTATGCATATCGAACAAGTTTATCATTATTTTAAGCATAAGTGGAAAAGTAAATAGGGAAAAGGCTTTGTTGTATTTGTATGTGCATTATTACGATCTGGGTGGGGATAACAATATTTGGATGGTGAAACGTTTCTTTCATATGATAATGGTCAAAGATTAGTGTTACTGTTTTAAGCACTATGTACAGTGATATATGCAGGTATTATATGTAGGTGGCAAATTACAAAAAGCGTGGACTCTAAACGTATCTTCCTAGATCCCTGCCTACCGCGACGAAGATTAGTTTAGTTTGCTTTAATCAATATATATAAATTATAAAGTTTCCTTTATGGTTGCCACTATATTCTTCTTTTACACCAACATGACTTCCCTTGTTTCCATTCATTGATTCAACTAAAAACAATTTAATTTAACAAAAAAGGGCCATAGTAGACCCGTCAAGAGAAAAAAAAGAATAGGTTAAATTACTCAGCAGGTTCCTCGACTATTTGAAATTTTTAAATGGGTCGTCGTTACATTAATTATTTTAACCTAAAAGAAAGCATGTTCTTAAGCTTAATTTTGGAAGTTTGAAACCGTCATCAGAAAATGGTAATTTCAGCGATATTAAAAACCCTACTTACTCAATAAAAAATATATATGATTAAGAGCCAATTAAAAAAATCAATATTATTCTTGTCAAATTTTGCAGGTGCTCCAATAGTAGGAATGATATCTGTTGGGATACAAACAAGTTCTACATTGATAAAATAAAACAATAAAAAATAACTTATATAACATAAACATACTTCAATAATTAAGAGGCATTTTGGGTAATAAACAAAAGTAAAATCGTGAAGGCCAAGGCCCAAAGCGGACAATATCTCATCATTGTGAAGGATGTTTGTGTAATAACCTTATAAAAATAACTATCATAAAATATCCTATCAGACATAAATTAACCCTATCATAAAATATCCCCTCATTACTCCAATATTTGTGACAGTAGAGACACTTGAAAAGACACTTTAACTCTTAAGTTAAAGAAAAATATATGTTAAGATTAAAATTAAAATATAATGATATACACGTCTCTCGAATAAATCTACTTAATTATTTCAAAAATAAACCTTAAATACTTGCTTTATTAAGGTATTTCTATATATAAAATATACATAAGTTTAACAAATTTAATTATGAGATATTATCTTGATGATATATTATATATGCTAAATTTGAGATGAATTAAATATTAATTTATAGATATAATCTTATAAATAAAATTTATTAGTTATATTTAAAAATATATTATTCATTAATAAGTTGATTGACAAAATGTTGTGTAGTTTTAAAATTATATATAGTTTATAGATTTAATATATATTCAAATAATTCTTAACAATTGAATGGATTAAAATAAATTTAATTTAAATGAAATTATAAAGTTCAAGCCTCATCATTTTAAAATTCAAATTAGATCTAAACTCTTTTTTTTTCTTTCTAAACTATCGTCAAGTACTTAAACATTCTGCATATTTTGTTATCACTCTAATATTTATAGAGAGTTGTCGTAAATGATCCACATCTGATTGATTTAGTTTGGTGACCCAACAAATCAAGTCAAGTCAAGTTTTAAAAATAGAGTTCAGAAAGAGTTGAACCAATTTGGTCCGGCTGATAATTTTTAGGTCCAAAACTTATAAACTAATTTTTATTCAACATAATTTTTTATTTTACTATTTAAAATTTAAATAAAATAAAATTTGTTAATTTGATCTACATGATGAACAAATTGGTTTGACATGAAGAGGGGTCAAGTCTAGCCACAAAATAAGTAATATGTAATATGTAAGAAATTTAGGTTATGTCAATCCATTTAAAAATCATTGACTTAACATACTTAATCCACTTGTTTATAGCTAGTTCTATATGCATGTGTGCTTGTGTACACACTCTAATAACACAATTCAAAAGATTGCTTTGTTAGAAATCTTAAAATCAACAAGAAATATAAAAATTCAAATTATTTTATTAGTAGAATATTAAGAAGACGCGAGAAATAAAATGATTAATGCATGTGAGAAATGAAATAATATATAAGAAAAGAAGAGAAAGATAAAATAAGGAGATAAATAAAAGTGTTTGTGAAAGAAGTTATAGCTATATAAGACCAACTGAAAACGTTAACACGTGCATCACCTATTTAATGCTGCTAATACCATATATTAAAATTACCATAAGCAGATGATGAGAACCGTATACAGGATAGTTAGCTTAGCTGGCAGCAAAGGCATGCATACGTTAGCAGTGACACAACTGAGTTCATTAAATAAATGGGTGTATGTAGATTGTTGAATTTTGTTTAAATTGTTTTCAAAATATAAGATGAAATTAAATTAAAAGCAATCGTTGGCCTTAAACTCATAATTAATGAAAAAAAAAATCCATTTGCATATGTAAACTTCCCTCATTAAATTTAGAATACGATTTTGGTATATACCCTGATCACTTGAGAATTGAGAAGAACAAATCCCGTCGCTTATTACGATAGTCAATCTTTAAAATATCAATTATTAGAGCCGAATTCTAAAGCCATTGAATAGCTTCCTTTTAGTATATGGAGAGAGAGAGTCTACCAAGTATAGGGATGTTCATCTACCATATATAGAAGAAAAACATATCTAGAAGAAGTAGTAAATAAAAGGAAAAAAAAATGAAAAGCACTATAGTACTATATATATATAGGAATATCATCATGTATGATCTACGAAATCGAATAGGGCATTGCAGAGAGACATAGGTCTCTTCTCTATTCTCATATGTCGTCAAGCAACACAAGACTCCCTATAGTAGGAATGTTATTATAGTGTGTGACAGCATACATGTATGAGAATTATTTTTTCTATTTTTCACAATTAATGTTACGGTAACAACTTTGATGTATCAGCGGAAAATTTGGACTGGCTATACAATTACAATGATTAGTTAGTCAATCTTAACACCTGACCAGATGAATTTAAGGGCAACGAATCTGATCCATATATATTGGACCCTATCAGATATGAAACATAATCATTCATTCATTTTCATCACTTAATTACCATTATAGATAAGTTAATAAAAGTTGAATCTTTAAATGAATGTTCTTATATCAAAGATTAGTTTTTAACTTTTTTGTTAGAAGATAAACTTAAAAAAATGGGGGGCAAAAAGACAAAGATATGCTATATGCTAGCTAGTTCCTCAACAGTTAACGTGCATGCAATTGCCCCAGAGACAACTATATATGCATCACAAAGTTATGTAATTTAGCATCTACAAATGAATATCCAGCTATATTTCATTTTTTGGTTCTTTAGTTGTAAAGATTAACGACGAGTCGTGTGCAGTTCCAAAAGATACACCTACTGCTACACAATGATTTTCTGACAAGTTAAACAATGGAGTACTATATAATTAAGTCCATTAATATCTTGAATATTCAGGTGCGCCCTTATCACACATGTCCGCCAGTTAGATGCAAGTTTAATTAAATTATGCAGCAAGTATTTTAATAAATTGCGTGCACCTTTTCAATTTTTTCTTTCTGTCTTTTATACTCGTAATGTTTTACTTTTGGCAGAGTGTCAATGCATTAATTTAACAAAAATAATTAAATATTAAGCCACCGCACTATGACGAAGAAAACCAGGCCATGTTAATTCCCCATTTTGGTCCTTGTGTTTGGATAGAGTCACAAATCTGGTAGCTGTAACCATCACCGCAATAACCCTGTTGGGTTATTATGTTTCTTTGTGTATGACAAACTTTGGATACTTTTGTCTTGTGATTAATTATATAGAATAAAAATGAAGAAATTAAATGAGTGAGTGGTGCCTGACCAGGGCGCCAACGATGAAGATTAGAAAGTTCTCCCTCAGAACAAGTCCACATTAGAATAATGGTAAATTAAATTAATTCGTACATAAACGTCCTATCCATGCTTTTCAATTCATTTCAGTTTTGTTTCTCTGTGGAATAATAAAATAACAATATTTCAACTGTTGAAAAGCTAGGTCTCTTGCTATAAGGCACAAGCAGTCCCCACCAAAATTTCAATAGAAAGTGAGGGCTTGGATCGTGAGAGAAGTTTTATAGAGTTGTTGCTGAGAAAGAGAGAAAATGGGAAGAGCCCCTTGCTGTGACAAGGCAAATGTGAAGAGAGGACCATGGTCACCAGAAGAAGACTCAAAGCTTAAGGAGTACATCGAGAAGCATGGCACTGGAGGGAATTGGATTGCTCTTCCTCAGAAAGCTGGTAAGAGACATATCATCATATATTCTTCACATTAACCTAAGCTCTCACCATGTCATGAAAAATGCTAGAAGTTTTAGACTTTAAGGTTTAAACCTAGGGATCCTTTCATATATATGTGCATGTACTCTCTCTCTCTCTATCTATGTCCAAATGCTCTGACTCTGATATATGATCATATAGGTCTTAAGAGATGTGGAAAAAGTTGCAGATTGAGATGGCTTAACTATCTTAGGCCCAACATTAAGCACGGAGAATTCTCCGACGAGGAAGACAGAATAATTTGCAGCCTTTATGCTAATATTGGAAGCAGGTACCAATTTTCATGCATACATAGACCCACTAACTGTACTTAAAAAAATTCTAAAATTAATTATTCTCCAGATCCAGAATATTGAGATGGATACTCTCTTTAGCCTTATTTTTTCTTCAACCACGGAATACAAGCTCTCTGATATGTCCATGAGGTTGTCCCAAACTAGATCCTCTCCTGCTTCTCCTGTCCTTTGTTTTTCTAAAAGGGGTAAAAACAAAAGTAATAGAGGAAAAAAACACACAAACACAGGAACTAGGGATTTGACCATCTGAGAAAATTTTGTGGTTATCTAGAATCTGTCTATATTTGGGAGGGTGGTCTCCAAACATGGATGCCAAGTTTAGATCTAGCCACAGCATGCACTCATACATGTTTGATTAATGAAGACATTGGTTTATAAATCTACTTTTGGTCCATTTTTTGGGTGATGATGTTGCAGGTGGTCCATTATAGCAGCTCAGTTGCCAGGTAGGACTGACAATGATATCAAAAACTATTGGAACACCAAGCTTAAGAGGAAACTTATGGGGTTGCTTCCTGCATCTCATCAAAGATCAATAGCACCCTATCAAACCCCACCATCATCATTTCCTTCTCACTCATCACTATCATCCTCAGTCTACTGCAACAACAACTCTCATTATTACCTCCCAGCACCAACAGTATCTTTCTCATGCCTTGAACCAATATCTGCTCCTTCAAATAATTACACAAACACAATCTGCACAACATCCTCCACCTCTCTCCCTTTTTATCAAAACCAAGAGCCCTTGGTGAGTGTTAGTCCCATGCAGTATTACCACCCTACCACAGACACTTCTATGCTTGTGTTTGGAAGTGAAACAAGTTGCAGTTCCTCAGATGGGAGCTGCAGCCAGGTTAGCCTTGGCAGAGAGATCAAACAAGAAGAAATGGGATTTCAGAGTTTCATGTTTGGAGATCAGCACATGAACAACAAATTCATGCTTAATCATGATCATGGTGGTGAAGAATATGTGAACCAATATTGGGGAGAGAAGCCCTATTTTCAAACGCAAACAGCATTGGATTATGATCTAGAGGTTATTAAGGACCTAATTAGAAGCAACGGTAGTAATAATAGTAATAATGGGTACTTGAGTATTGATGAAAACAAGACGGTGGAGAAAGGGTTGTACTACAACTACTGAACTGATGCATGACTGACTGCAAGTAAAATCAGAGAGATATGATTCAGTGAGAGGCATGGGAGTGGGGAAGATTCAGAAAAGACTTTGAAGTTGTGGAGTTCTGTGTTCTTTAATGAAATGAGATAAATCTTATGTTGACAGTACATGGTAAAAGCTTCTTTATATTTTGTGTATATCCTCTAGGAATGAACTGAAGTGATGATAATGATTTGATGACGATGATGTTAGATTTTTGTAAGTATTCTCTCGGTGCAAGTGCAATCCCTCCAATCACACATCAATGTTACCAATACCAGAAAACAAGGCTTTTAGATTCAAAAACAATTTTCTTCAAATATTATTAATTTCTATTTTTTAAGTACTTAAACAAATCTCGGGGCTATTTTACATGCATTATTTTGATAATAAACTTTTGAACTTGAAAAATTATTTTAAAAGCGATCGAAATTCCGTATCACCATCAATATTGATTTGATACTAATAGAGTACTGATTAACGTACGTCTACTCTTAAATACGGTGAATTGGGGTAGATAAAGGAGAGATATGGAAGAAAAACAGAGCAAAAAAGAAAAAAGTAATAGATTAAATTATAATAATTGATATTATTAAAAAAAAAAAAAGAAGGAAAGATAGAGATACAGAGAAAATATATGGGATGGAAATGATGATGATTGTCATTTTTAATATTAACGTGTGATTTGTCAGAAATAGAGTTAAGCACCCGGATGAAGAATCTTTTGTAGCTACTAGCTATATCAGAAGTCAAAATGGAAACTTGTTTAGGACAAACCTAGATTATATTAAAGTAATAAACGAAATGCAAGGATGGACAAAAAAGTGTGATGGTGGCCGAATTTTGTTGTTTTGTGAGAATGAGAATTCAAGCTGTGCAAGAAAAAACATAAATTATTAAGCACAATCTCAGTCATATATATTATTTACTTTTTTTATTCTTTTTAAGAAGGGAAAAAATCCATCTAAGTTATCTTGAATCCTTTATATAAGTTTGTGCGAAACATATATGCTATCCTCGATAAGTATAAATAATTTTTAAAAATTTACAGATTTGATCTATGCATTAAAAACTTTAAATTGAACGGTTAGATCATTAAAATTTGATATAGAACATGAATTATTGAACGAAGTAATGGATCCCTCCTTTCTCTTTCTCTCTCTCTATATATATATATATATTATTTTATTCAAAATAAACCTATTTAAACTTATTCTATTTAATAATTTATGTTTTACATTAAATTTTAATGATCGAATTATTAAATTTAAAATTCTTAATACATAAATCAAGTCTATAAATATTTTAAAATTTTAAAAATTATTTAATATTTCATTTCATTAATTCAAATCAATATATAAAATATTTTATAATTATTTATTAATTTAAATTAATAAAATAAAATATTAAATGATTTTTAAATTTTTTAAAATTTTATAGACTTAATACATTAAAAATCTTAAATTTAATAGTTAAATCATTAAAATTTGATATAATTAGAACATAAATTATTAAACGAAATAAATTTAAATAGATTTATTCTTAAAATAAACAGATATCTTATTTGTAATTACTTAGTTGGAGAATGTTTTACTTTTTCATGTGATTTTCATATATTATTTGTAATTAGTTAAAATGTTTTTCTTAATCATTTCAAATTATTTTCTTTTTCTAAGTATAATATTCCTAATTATTTACTCTAATATATTAAATATGATTGATTGCTGATACGAAAACATTTTTAAGAGTTATATAAGAAAGTTTCTAAGCATTTTTTTTCAATGAAATTGTTTGTAGATATTTTTTTTTAACTTTTATCTATTTTAATTTTCATTTATTATATTTATTTATAAACTAAATTTAAGTATTTAAAATAAATTATTAATAATTAAAAATAATCTTATGTCATAATTTATATAAATGATTATCATAAATATATATAAATTAATTATATTTTATATTGAATAATTTTATGCATTATTAAATGAACTAATCCTTCTGATCAGACGCCATAAGCTTTTTATCCTAATAAAATGGTGTGTTTTATTTTTAAGGTTTTCGATCAACATTTTTCTTCATAAATACAAATTTTACTTCAATTTGAAAGGCAAATTCTTTTTTCTCCTATGACAAACAAAGTGTTTGCATTGTGTAGGCTACACAAATACTGGTTAGTTGGAAATGCTATATTTACTGATAGTGAATTATCAAATTATAGAGTCAATTTGAATATTTTTTTTCCAATAAAGACTTATAGGAAAAATAATTATGAAAAAATAAAATAATAATAATAAAAACCTCTCACATATAAGTTATTAGAGAGCCAGATGTATTTATATCGATAATCTTGGGTGTTAAACATAGCTCCACTTTTATATCACATAAGTTTTTATTGTCTTTTATGTAGTTTTTTTTAAAATATCTAACTCAGCAACTCCTCTCCCATTGGACCAAACTTATTTCACCACTACAAATGTTGTTTCTGAACTGATTGATGATATCTTAAGAATCTATTTTAATTACAATTTTAGGTCCTAATTAACCATCCAGCTGGTGGACTCTTCTGTTTCTGATTTTGACCACTGTCTGCAACCCATAGAATAGTCATCAATCATCATCATGTGTGCTTATTCTATTCTTTAGACTGTTTCTTTCGTGTTGTTCCTTGAAAATTTTCCACTTATATTAAATTGATTCACGATATATAAATGGAAAATTAACAAATAAATAAATTATAAATAAAAATAAAAATAAAAAAAGTTTGAGTAAAGCAATGAATTAACTATTTTAATTCTAATAAGTTAATTACGTTCACACGCAAAGGTGAAAAAGCTAGCCCCAACAATTAATTTGGCTTATAGTTAGACTTTTTATTTGTTAATTTATTTTACTGTGGAAGTTTTATTGCCGACAAGTTAGACAACGTTACTAAGCTTGTGCAGTTTTGCCCTCAAAAAAGAGAAGACTGCATCACTGAGGTCTCTTGTACATTGTCTTCACGGACACCAGATATTGCCTGCAGAAACGTCTTCGTCAACTTAATTAAATATAACAATTAGTTTGCAATCAATAATCAATAAGACAGATATAAGCCATTGAAAGAAGTTATATGTTTTACATATATTGTTATAACCATGTTATCCAAGTATGGATGAATAATTTTTTGTCGAAAGAATTTCACTGGTCATTAATTTTAATGCCACCTTTTTTTTTAATTATATGGCTCAAAATCCAAAATTTTACTTAAAAAAATTAAAATCAATATTATTTAAATTATCGATTTTTTATTAAAACTTTCATATTTAAAAGATTGTAATAAAATTAAATTTCTTACATTTAAAATATGTAAGAGAATTAAAATTAATTTAAGCATATAAAATATAAAATACTCCCTGTAAGTTATAAAATATATAATGTATTTTTAATTAATGACTCTGGAATACTGGTTAAGAAATGAATAAATATTCATTCCAATTTTTATTATAAAATATATTTAAGTTATTATGAGTATTCATTTTAAGTTATGACTATCGTGAGAATTATAAAACTTTCAACGGGTCAAGCTTGCTGTTGGATTGGCTTTGATTCTGCTCTGATAGCAAAATGCTCGTTTTGATTTTCAACTTGTCACCTCTCATAATCATTTTTCTCGGGACTGGTTGCACATCTCAAAACCTTGACCTTTTTTTTTTTTTTTTTTTTAATGAAAACCTTGACTATTTTGATTATCATTCTGGGGAAGACAAGTATAATTAAAAGTTAATATAATTAAGAGAAATTATCATATTTGCGCAAGCACAACACACCAGCACAGTCTGTAGGTTTCAGATGAAAGTTAATATAATCAAAAGAAATTATCATACTTTCTACATTGATATAATATCTTGTGGAGGAAAGACGTACACTACAATATCATTTGCTATAACTGTTTTAATTTTTGAAATATAAGGAGCTAACACGACTCAAGAGGTAACTCTCAAGTAAATTTAGCCGCAGTAGTTCAAGTTCCAAAGAAAACATTTACATTTAGTCATTTGGAGGAGATTTTATAACTTTGAAATAACAAATTACATGCAAAGAGTCAAAAAAGTACTACAAAAATCATTAAATTAAACAAATTATGTTAATTCTAGTGATATGAAATTCTATCACATATTTTGAATTCAAATTATATATGTATATATCAATAAAATTAATAATATAGTTATTAAAAAATAATTTCAAATGAATTAATCAATAATATGTAAATAACATTTGAGTGAAACTTAATAAAGAATTATGAGCTCAACTTAATGATAAAAGAGTTGGGATAATAAGTACAAAATATTATTTTATAACCTTTATAGTCAATGTACACACAAAATAAATACGTTATCAATAATATGTCTATAGCGTGTAATAAAAATAGGAAAGTTTTTTTATATTTTATTTTAAAATAATTAATAAGATATTGTTAGTACTTTCACATCGTGTAATCATTCACATATAAAATATATTTGGTTTTATAAATTATTTATTGGATTCAAATTTTAAACTTTCGTGAAATTTAAATAAATAATTAAAATTAATTAAAATGGTTTTGATTATTTGTGTAGGGTAGAATGACTAGGATTAACTCATTTGACCAAATGTCTTTTATGTACATAGAGGCATGGAAATGAATGATTATATAACAAAGCGAAAGAGGTAAATCTAGACCATACAATGATCATACAATCATGTGGTTAAAATTAAAAAATATTTAATGATTATATGACCACATTAAAAATGTTAACTAACAAACAATAACCAACATGTTGTTAATACGCAAAATTCTTTTGCATTGATGTAAGTAAAAATAAGTGAAATTGTGTCCATATCTCACTTTAAGAATTTTTCAATAAGTATTTTTGGTAGATGTTGGATCTTTTAATTATTATTTTGAGCTTAATTTGTTTTTTTTTTCCTTGAATAGTCGTTATAGTGATATTTAAATTTATAATATCAGGTGAATAGTTAATGTTTAATTACTATTTTAGCCACCAAACTTTAACATATTTAGAAATTTGATAATTCGATTTTCAAATTATAAATTTTGTTATTCTATTAGTTGATTGTTAATAAGATATAATTAGTTGACCGTTGATAAGTATGTTAATAATTAATATAATATATTAATTATTGACATAAAATATACATGATGATATGATATAATGTGATATGTCAGTAATCAACATATCACAT